AAGAGTGGACTGGAGTCTATAACCATCTCTTTCTGCTAAACAAGATACAAAGTTTATATAAAGAGATCGGTTTGAGATACATTTAGAAACAAAGGACAAGTTATTCCTTGTGGAGCGGTAGAAAGGATGAGAAGACACTGTTAGCAGGATTGCAAGGAGATGTGGTAGCTCACGGGGCCATCACTGCTTGGGGAGTGCTAGGTGTGCTGGCGTGCAGGGAGGCTAGAAACAACCAGTTTCCGTTCCCTCCAAGGAGCTAATGGATCAGCAATGATTAACAAGGAGCAGAAGCAAATGGAATCAGTCAAGACAACGCTTAGATCCCAGATTAGAAGCTAAATGTGGGGAACCAGCAGTTAGTGTAATGGCTATGTTGCTGGACTCTCACGTAGTCGACCACGGTTCACATCCCGGACCTGGTGGCTTAAAACTCACGCCAGGCATGTGTGTGTGCATGTCCAAGATCCTGAGAGGAGAATGGAGGAGAAGGGATTGTGGCGTGACCATTCCCCCGGGGGGTGATTTCTCGCTTTCTGTCTCTATGTCTCTCTCTGTCTGTCTGGCGAGCACATGTGCCCTATAGAGAAAAAAATTCTCAAAAAAAAAAAAGAAGCTAAATGTAGCCTTATAATGCTTGAGTTGATAAAATTTTCTCAGGTGTCAGGACCAACCAGTAGATGGCATAATGTTTACATCGCTGGACTCCCTCGCAGTCAACTGCAATTCGAGTCCTGAACCCAGTGACTTAAAAAAACTCACACCATTGGGACCAGCAGTTGGCTATGTCACTGAACTCCCTTGTAGCTGACTACGGTTCAAGTACCAGACCCAGTGGCTTAAACTCACGCCAGGCACATGTGTATGCATACCCAAGATCCTGAGAGGAGAATGGAGGAGAAGGGATTGCAGTGTGATCATCCCCCTGGGGGGTGAATTTTTGCTTTCTGTCTCCCTGTCTTTCTCTGGTGAGTGCATGCACCCTATAGCAAAAAAATCTCTTTAAAAAAAAAAAATCTTCTCAGATATCATATAGAAAGACTGGTGGCATCTTTCCTTTCCTATCTTCATGGGAAGGCAACTGTAAATACTCAGCAAGATTTAGTTGGCTTCTAGTAGTTAAGCCTTAGGCTTCATCTATTGTAAGGGAGGTTTCTATAAAACTCCTTGTAAGGAAAGAGAGATAGAAGTTAAAGGATGATTTCCCTAAAGCCTAATCTATTAAGATGGACTTGAAGCCTAAGAATAGTATAGTCACTTTTGTTCTCTTACAACTCTGTTACAACATTCTACCCCCTAGTTCTCCCAGGATCCAAGCCAAGAGAAAGGTAAAGGATAACACATGTCAGTAACTACTACTATAAGAAAAAATAGTAATTCTCTTCTGGTAGGTTGTAAGGGAGCCTTAAAAGTTTGTCCAGGTTGTACACTCGAAGCTCTGAAATCTCGGTGAGAGCTGGAATCTAGTACACTGTCGACTTACCAGGCATAGCGCTTGATTAGGCCATTATGAACAAAAGAGTCTCTACTCACAAAACGTTCTTGCTGGTCAGCAGCGGAGGTGCCTGAGATCGGAGTCCATATTTAGTAAGCCCGGAAGGGCTCATCCCTGAAATTCTAGTAGCTCTTGAAGTAATGGCTAACTGCACGGGTGATATTCCTGGGCAGTGTCTGGACCTCATCACATCATGCACTGTGATGGGCAAAAGTAGAATATTTGGGTCAAAACCTCTTTCTGATTCATCTCCTTCAGGGATGGTGACAATTTTCTGTGAATGTTCTTAGGCATAATATTGATCTTACCTACTCCTGACCCCCCACTCTCCCACACACACACACACACACACACACACACACACACATTCATTTACACTGCATTGGCTAATCTTTCTGGGGCACAGTTAGGTGGTGAAAAGAAAGGTTTCAGGAGCTCCCTACTTCAGTTGTCAGTCATACAGTTCTGCCCTTAAACAGGATACACAGTGTCAGGGATAGCATCTTCCACTGGCTCAGGCCTGCCTGTGTGGGCAGGAATGAGAATCAGAGAATCAGTCTTGGAGGGGGAGACTTCAAGAGAAATGAGAGGCTATGTCGAGCTGCCTGCTTTTGAGGTAACTTTAGACTTCACGTGGCCTGCCTATTGGCCCCATGAAGTGATTAGCACTTTCTTGGGGTCTTTATGTCCTCAGGACATGACCACAGAATGCAGAGAGGCAACAGATAATGGAAAATGGGATACTGAAAGAGAGATTTGATTCTTTGGACTGTGAGTTTCATTTCAGTGGGTTAAATGCTCCTAAAATCATAGAAGCAATTGTTATCTGTTTTTACAGTGAGGAATCTGCCAGAAAACACATTAAAGATAGTCTGCTTCAGCTGAGATGTCACTTTACATGGAAGTTGCTCATTGAAGACTCTGAAATGCCTGATTTAGAAAACAGGGTCTTGGATGAGGTGGAGTTCCTAGACACTAAATACAAAATGGTAACCCACAACCTACTGGCCTATGTGAAAAACCTGAATGGCCAGAACGAGGAGGCCCTGGAGAACTTAAAGAAAGCTGAAGACTTAATCCAGAAAGAGTATGCTGACCACTTGGACATGAGGAGTCTGGTGACCTGGGGCAACTATGCCTGGGTCTATTACTACATGGGCAGGCTGGCAGAAGCCCAGACGTACCTGGACAAGGTGGAGAAGACTTGTAAGAAGTTTTCAAGTCCCTTCTGCTATAGGATGGAGGATCCTTGGATGGACAACGAGGAAGGATGGGCCTTGCTGAAGTGTGGAGGAAGGAATTATGGACAGGCCAAGGCCTGCTTTGAAAAGGCTCTGGAAGTGGACCCCGACAACCCCGAATTTAACGTTGGCTATGCGATCACCACCTATCGTTTGGATTACTCTTATGGAACACCATGTAACATTAAGAATACAATTTCCCTGCAGCCCCTAATGCAGGCCATCAGGCTAAATCCGGAAAATGCTTATATTAAGGTTCTCCTTGCCCTGAAGCTTCAGGATTTAGGACAGGATGCTGAAGGAGAAAAGCACCTTGAAGAAGCACTGAGCAGCCATTCCTCACAGACCTATGTTTTGAGATATGCGGCCAAGTTCTACCGAAGAAAAGGCTGCCTGGATAAAGCTCTCCAGCTTTTAAATATGGCCTTGCAGGCGACACCCACCTCTGCCTTCCTGCATCGCCAGGTAGGGCTTTGCTATAAGGCACAAATGATCCAACTGAAAATAGCTAAAAACATGCAGCCGAGAGGGCAGGACAGAGAAACTCTGGACAGATTGGTTCAATTGGCTATAGATAAGTTCGAAAAGACTTTAGCACTAAAGCCCACATTTGAGATGGCTTACGTGGACCTGGCTGAAATGTACGCAGAAGCGGGCCACCACAGAAAGGCCGAGGATACTTTTCAGAAAGTGTTACACATGAAGGTCACTGATAACCATTTGCAGCAAGAGATCCATTTCCGCTATGGCCGTTTCCAAGAATTTCATGGGAAATCTGAAGATAGAGCAATCACCCATTATTTAAAAGGTCTAAAACTAGAAACAATGTCCCTCGCCCGGGAGAAGATTCTCAGTGCTTTAGAGAAGTTGGCTAAACGGCGTTTTTACCGGAATGTACACGTGGTAGAAAGCGCCAGCCTCCTTGGACTCATCCACAAATTAAAAGGGGAAGTGACTGAAGCCCTGCTGTACTATGAGATGGCTCTGAGGATGGCTGCTGACCTGAACCCTTTATTTTGAAATGCAGGTCACTATTACCATGGAGTGTCTTCCCAGCTAAATATATCAACAGTCTTGCCTGAGTGCTGCACTCAGAAATATAGGAGCTGATGAAAAGCAGAATGCTGGGGTACAGTATATCTCATCCTCTCTGCCTGGCCCTGTCTTGCTTTCCCCTTCAACCATCTGGTGACAACAAGATTCCTCCACAGCACAGCCCTGCCATCTCTGGCCAAGGCTGATAAATGCTGTTTCAGACCCTTGTCATCGGCTGGACCAATACAAATAGTTTTCCTTATGATTTTGCCTTTGGGATAAACATCTCCCAGCCTCAATCTAGCCGGTGTCATGAACAGAGGAGACTTGAGCAGGGAAGGTTTCGTTTTTGTGTAGTCAAGGGGACTGACCTGTAAGAAGATCTAAGAGCAAAAAAAAAAGAGTGAAAACTTAAAAAGAAATAGAAAACTTCTGGAGTTCAACATAGCGTTTTAGCCAGCGTTCCATCTCCCAAATTCCCACTGAACCCTAGCCCTGCTGGTCGATGAACTGTCTATGACATGATACTAAATCAGCCTGCTGTTTACATCTGTCCACCTGTTGGCAAGCACATGGGATCTATGTAATCCAGACACATTGCTGGGCATTTATTCACAACTAAATTATATTGGGGAAAAGGAAAACAAAAGAAGAAAAGAATCTGTTTAGGATGTGTGAGTTGAAAATGTCCTTAATACCTTCATGCAGTTTTGTTTTTGTTTTTTGTTTGTTGTTGTTTGTTTGTTTGTTTGTTTTTTGAGGTTTTTGCTATAGGGTATGTGTACTCGCCAGAAAGACAGAGAGAGACAGAGAGAGAGACAGAAATTGAGAAATCACCCCCCCCCTGGGGGGGGGGATGGCCACATTGCAATCCCTTTACCTCCATTCTCTTCTCAGGATCTTGGGCACGCACACACATGCGTCTGGCGTGAGTTTAAACCACTGGGTCTGGGACTCGAACCATAGCTGACTACATGGGAGTCCAGCGACATAGCCATTATGCCAACTGCTGGTCCTCCTTCATGCAATTTTTAAGTGTTTGCTGGGTAGTGTGTGATATAAACTCCTTTTTCTCGTTATTCAGAAATATTCATTAAAATTTGCTAAGATCATAAATTTTTTTAGTATGTTTTATTGGTGAAATTTTTAAAAAATGATGTGTAATTCATGTTTGAGAGGAAATAGAAAAATCCAGACCAATTTATGCTGCACTAGAAGGCCTGAAGCAGAGAAAAATCATGGGAATATAAATCCTATCAAGGGTTGAAAAAAAATATTGGGGCAGTATCTACTTTCACAGGCCATGGAGTTGGATGTTTGTTTGTTTGTTTTTTTTGGAGAGGTTTTCACTATAGGGCGCGTGCGCTCGCCAGACAGACAAAGAGAGACATAGAGACAGAAAGCGAGAAGTCTCCCCCCCAGGGGGGATGGTCACGCCTTCCCCTCCATTCTCCTCTCGGGATCTTGGGCACGCACACACACGCGCCTGGCGTGAGTTTTAAGCCACCGGGTCCGGAACGAGAACCGCGGTCGACTACATGGGAGTCCAGCGACATAGCCATTACGCTAACTGCTGGTTCCCCTGGACTTGGATGTTTAACTTACATTACTTGACCTCTGGGAGCTGGGACTGACCAATTGTGGAAGTTGGCGGGAGAGGGGAGTTTGGGAGTGCCATTCAGATCATTCAGATGACACTGGGGAACACACGTAACACTCTTTTCAACTTTGTTGATATTTCAATGAAGAAGAGAGTCATTAGATTTAACCAGAGGAAATTACAAGGGCAGAGAGACTGTCTTTTCCCAATAAACAGGTTTGACTCTGCGGCTCACCCAGCCTTGCCTTGAGTTCCTTACTTGTGGTTGCCACAAAGCCACTTGCAGTGGGAGACTTTCCTCCACTCGAAGAAAGAACTAAACAAGAAATTCTGAGAAAACATGCACACGATGTTCTTCCAACTAGATAATTCTAAGATTTTGGTTAGCCCAGGTCCTAATATTATTGCTGAACTCATAACTATTGTTCTTTGGCCACTGGTTCGTCTTGAAAGAAAGAAATAATTACACCTTTAGAGTCCTCTTAGTTGAATGCGTCCTAAATGTTGGTAAGTTGTCAGCAAATTGGGTTTCATTGCACCAAATTCACTTGTTTATTAATGTTGAAACCATCCCACCATCCCAAGTACTAGAACCCAAATCAATTTCCCTAGCAGCTGAGTCTACTTCACAGAGCTTGAGTGTGTGTGTGTGTGTGTGTGTATGCTTGTCTATTTGGGTGAGCACAAGTTAAGCCTTAAAACAAGCAATTTTATTTATTTATTTTAGAGGTTTTGGAGTGATGCTTGCCAGATAGACAGACAGAGACAGAGACAGTGAGAGAGAAAGTGAGAAATCAACCCCCAAAGGGTATGGCTACACTGCAATCCCTTCTCCTCCCTCTCCTTCTGGGATCTTGGGCATGCACACACACACACACACACACACACACACACGCCAGCGTGATTTTCAAGCCACTGGGTCCAGGACTCGAACTGCAGTCAGTCACGTGGGGGTGCAGTGACATAACTGCTATGTCATCTACTGGCCCCAAAACAAGCTATTTTAAAGCATAATCAAATCCCCTCACATTAGCTTCCCTCAATAAAAAAATCATGGGTTGGTTGGCTGAATACCTTACAAATGTGGTTCTTATCAGGGGCTTCTATGTACAGTATGGGCCAGCGAAAAACAGAGGGATGCTGGAGGGTATATTAAAAGACTTATCTATCTGACCATACTAAAATAAAAACAATGAAAGGATAAATAAAAACGTTGTCATGGTTACCTATGAGAAAAGAAAGGGAAAGAAAAGAGAAACAGCAATAGAAGCTAGAATTCTAGAACTATTTGGAACCACGACATATTTTACCTACTTATGAAACAAATTTGTATTTTAAAAATCAATCCACACATACATAATTTATCAGTTAATTCATTATATTATTGCCTTTTTATATAACAACATCAAATAATTCCATGAGTGGATGGAGAATTGTATGGATGGATAGATTTGTGGTCAATAGTGAAAGATTATTTGTAGAATCTAGCTATATGACTGTTCATTGTAAAATTCTCTTACCTTTCTCTGTGATGATGTACATAATAAAAAGTTTTGACAATAAAAGCAAGTAGAAATACTTCAAAAGTAGAGCAAACTGAAACAAATGAGTCAACGTAGATTTGGGATGGAGAATAAAAACTGCACTGAGAGTGGAGCCGGCAGGTGGTGTGGTGATTAAAGCACTGGACTCCCACACAGTTGACCACAGTTTGAATCCTGGAACTAGCGGCTTGAAAATCATGCCAGGCATGGGAACCAGCAGTTTGCGTAATGGCTATGTCGCTGGACTCCCACGTAGTCGACCGCGGTTCGTGTCCCGGACCCGGTGGCTTAAAACTCACGCCGGGCGCGTGTGCGTGCGTGCCCAAGATCCCGAGAGGAGTATTGAATTGCGGCGTGACCATCCCCCTTGGGGGGTGATTTCTCGCTTTCTGTCTCTATGTCTCTCTCTGTCTGTCTGGCGAGCGCACGTGCCCTACAGTGAAAATCTCTCCAAAAAAAAAAAAAATCATACCAGGCATATGTGTGTACATGCCCCAAATCCCAGGCGGATAGCAGAGGGAAAGGCTTGCGGCATGGCCATCTCCCCTGGGGGCGATTTCTCACTTTCTTTCTCACTGTCTCTGCCTTTCTCAGGCAAGCCCATGTGCCCTACGGCAAAAGAAAAAAGAAAACCACACTGAGGGGAAGCATTCCAAGGAATTTTTAATACATGGTGACTTGACTCCACATCTGCAAAAGAATTTAGCTTACAGTCAAAAGAATGGGGAAAAAACGATTTAACTCCACTGAGCAAGCATGCTGGAGGTGCTTTGTGGATTTTCCTCTTCTGAGACCATTAGTGTACTGTGTAAGAAATCGTATGAGGAGTTAAGTTGACACCAGTTAGAAAAGGAATATTCAATTTGGGATGAAAGATACACAGATGTGAGATCAATTGGGTTAAGTAAAAATCCTGTTTACACGGATTTCTAGGATGAGTTGATGGCATGTATATTTTTTAAATTTTAATACATGATAGAACATGCATGCATGCTAAAGAGAGAGAAACACCCTCTTCGGGTCTTGTTACTCTGCTCTCCCCTCCCCCTGGCCTTCCACTTGTCAGGATCTTGGGCGCTTGGGCTCTCAGGCACTCCTCCAACATGGTTTTTTTTTTTTTTTTTTTTTTTTTGTGGTGTTTTACGCTGCGGGTGCGCTCGCCAGACAGACAGAGAGAGACTTAGAGACAGAAAGCGAGAAATCACCCCCCAGGGGGGGATGGTCACGCCGCAATCCCTTCTCCTCCATTCTCCTCTCGGGATCTTGGGCACGCACGCACATGCGCCCGGCGTGATTTTTAAGCCACCGGGTCCGGGACACGAACCGTGGTCGACTACGTGGGAGTCCAGCGACATAGCCATTACGCTAACTGCTGGTTCCCTCCTCCAACATGTTTTGAGGCCAACCTGGGTATCCAAAACCTTGGTCAACGTGTTTTTCCAGCACTGAAGTTCAGTTTGCCACCAAGTGCACCACTAGGTTGGAGCAAGCTTATGATATGTATATTTTTAATTCCCAGAGGACACATGTGCTACCAGAGAGAGACAGACACAGAGAGGGGAGAAAGCACACTCCAGGAGGTACAGTCACACTATAATCCCTCTCAATTCCTCCATCCTATAGAGATTCTAAGCACATGCGCACACATGCCCAGTGTGTTTTTTAAGTTGCCAGGGCTGAGATTCAAACCATAGTAGACCATGTGAGATCTGGCTCCCTTAACTGCTAGGCTATGAGGCCAGCTAGCTAATGAAATATTTTACCTTTAAAATATGCACCTAGTGGGAACCAGCAGTTAGCGTAATGGCTATGTCGCTGGACCCCCACATAGTCGACCGCGATTCGAGTCCTGGACCCGGTGGCTTAAAACTCACGCCGGGCGCGTGTGCGTGCATGCCCAAGATCCCGAGAGGAGAATGGAGGAGAAGGGATTGCGGCGTGACCATCCCCTCTGGGGGGTGATTTCTCGCTTTCTGTCTCTATGTCTCTCTCTCTGTCTGGCGAGCGCAAGCGCCCTATAGCGAAAAAACCTCTCAAAAAAAAAAAAAATGCACCTAGTACCAGGGCAGCCAGTGGAATGGCAGTTAAGATGGCTAGATCTCATGTGGCCTATTGCACAGTTTGAGTCCCAGACCTGGCGACTTGAAAAATACACCAGGTGCATGTATATGCATGCTCAAAATTCAGATAAGAGAAATGGAGTTGAGGGGATTGCAGCATGGCCATCCCCCATGGAAGTGCTTTCTCACTTTTCTTC